TGCTCTCATCTTGTTTACTTGGCTACACTTCAAAATGAGAAATCTTTCGCCTTTAGTCATGTCTGTTATGCACAAATCACCTTTCATGATGAGTCTTGCAGCACACTTCCCATCCTCTCTCTTTTGTCAACACTTGGACAAAGATCTCTGAGCTAGCAACAGTTCCAGACATGCACACTGGTGCCACTGCCTCACAGTCCTTTCTTTCCAACTACTGCTGGGAGCAAGAATGAGGAATACCATTCAAACTCCAAAATGTAGGCTGTTTTCCTACAGCAAGTAGGGACTAATCACTCAACTGGAACTTGGTAACCAGTCCTAAGCCAGATTGAAAAATGACAAATCAGTTAAGACAGGAGATAAATAGGAGCATAAAATACTAACAGCCAACTCTAAGAACTGAATATTTAAGTAAATGTTTGGTGTACATATTACTGCCTCTCCTCTGCCTCTTTTAAGGCCCTAGCTACTATGATGAGGGATTTCAGTTTCTGGTTTTTTAAAGCTGCATGGTATCCTTCAAATTAGAGGAAAGGCTTAAATATACAGTACAGGCGTATGGGATAAAAAGTAATAATAAATGCTTGCTTAAAATACCTTTATCTTCTTCCTAGAGACCTCATTCATGACCTTTGCATATTTGTGCAGTGCTTCTGCCAGAAACAATAGAATTGTAAAATTTCAGGGATTTTGTACTCCCTAAAAGAAGTTAGATAGTACTCAGCACAGCTACCAAATTTTAAGAAAAATTAAGACTGATATTTCACACAGTTGTTGCTCCCATATGAGCTCCAACAGAAATTCCATTTTCATATTTAGAGAAAAACATCTGGCATGAAAGATTTCCTGTTTGAAGAGCCCTTACAAGTGATTAAAGGCATAAATCCAACTTTCTCCTAGCACTCATTTATTTAGCAAAGCTGAAGGGATAATGAAATAATAGTCTTGGTAAAACATGTTCAATAATTTTCCTACTTGGGGGTTGCAATATAGTCCCTGTGCTGAAACAATCAAGAATATCAAAGTTTACACAGTCCTTTGTGCATGCACGTGTCAAATTGTACAAATTAACAAAGTTTAGTTGCAATGTCTACTACATCAAAGCAACAAAAACCAAAATCTGTTTACATAGACCACTCAAAGTTTTCATGAAATGATCTTGAATGTATGTGCAGGTACTAATTTTTCTAAGTGCTTCATAAGAGAGTGAAAGTCTCTATAGGCACCTAAATCCACTTTGAGTAATGAGGAATTATCAGGAATTAACAAAGTCATCCTTAAGTGCTCACACATTACCATATATAGTAGCACCACCTACATAAATAAGTCAGTCAAAATATAAAGAAAAGAACCCCGAATTCCTATATTTCTTCCCTAAGATATCCAAGGAAGTGGTTTACCCTGACCGAAACAAATTTTGTATTTTTTAAGTCACAGCAGAGTGTTGCATTTAACTAATACCAAAGTGTTTACCTTTTAAAAATGTAAGAATATAAAGCTAGTTTGAATTGGGAAGTTCTTTCTTTGCCAAGTTAACACTAGAAAAGCTGGGTTGGAATTAGAGACATACACATTTTCTAGAAGACAGAACAGATCTTATGATTCAAATGTACCTGCTGTTCCATTAGGATGGACATGATTCCAATCATATATGATTAATGATGTACAGTTTGTCAGCTGATGCTATAACTTAGCAGAAAGAAAGTAAAAATTCCAGAAAGCTTTAACCACAACCAGCTGAACAGTGAGAATTTTCAAGCATTAAGAGGATGAAAACAAGGGTTCCCTGGACTACTTTAGGTTTTATCTATGGGTTTTCCAGAAAGAAATGATTGTAAGGAAGAAAAGGTGTACTTCCCCTACCTTAGGGCAACTACAGACATGAAAGTTAATCCAACAGCAAAATTCAGTAAGCAGCTATTCCTAAATTTAGCTACACTTACTTATTTCACACCATCTATTTAGCTCAGTTCTTTACAGCTGTTTTAGGAGACAGACACAGAATGTCCACTTCCTGTGAAGTTAGGATTTGTCAGAAGTACTTTAGAAAAAGCCCTAGCTGTACATTAGGTGTCCCTGAATTAACCTGGTTAAACCAGCCTGTGACTACAGCAAAAACACACGAGGAATCCGCCCAATAGGCATGCAAGCTGTTCCCTTCTCTGCTCCTAAAATCAGAGTCTGCAGACAGAAGTATTGCCAAGGTCTGATTTCTGAGTGATTGCAATTCCTCTCTGCACTGTACATCATCCTGAAGTATCTTTCTGCCAAAGATATTCAGATATGCATAACTGCTGCAATAACTCCACCTTGGAGGAGATAAGAACTTGGTCATTATAGGAAATGAGTTGGCACACAAACAAAATAAATATTTCAGTTATGCTGGTGTGCTGCAGTAGGGGGAGAACAACATTTAGGTTTGTTTCCATAGGAATTAATGTCTCTGCATTCTGCCCTAACTATTGCCTTGCTTAAAATTAATCCCTTATCTCAAGATAAATTGTTTTCAAATTCCTCCATGTGTGAGATGAAATCTAGATTCTTCAATTCCCTTTCTTGGGAAGGAAAAATTAAGAAATTCAACATAGAAGCATGTGGAGAAGAGACAAGACTGAAAAAAATCTTCAAACAGATCTTGGAGAAATACTTCAGACACAATATTCCTCTTAAAAAGCATAGTGTAGAGAAATTCTGCTGTGTGCTCTAGTCTAGTCATCTAAAGCAAGCAAACCAGAGATACATGTGCTTGCAATCTATAACATGATAAATAATTTATTGAGTTTACAACCATACCCAGTGTAGTTATACTGATCAAAACTTCAGTGCCTTCAACTCTCTCCTCAACATATCACAAAAGGCATAACTCATTCAGTCCTTCCAGCACAAAGCAAGCAGTGTTAATAGGAGAGAGATGTTGCTAACAAGAGTTAGCAATGGCTCACAAATTTTGGAGGAACAGACAGTGACATATATACATGTGATAACAATATAAGAAATATACATTTCCTTCAGTACTGTATTTACAGAAATGACTGAGCCTCACATTACCTTTGAGGTTGCCTTAAATCCCCCTGATTTCTACGCTCTCCAACTCCCTTCCCAACATCCAACAGTCATTCCCAACTGAAACACAGTTCTACTACAGTACAGGTTCCAAGGCAATTGTGAAAAAAATGTTATGAGGAAATGCCTTCATGGAGTAAATTTACCTTAAAAAAAAATAAAAGGCCAGAAGAATGCTTAGCTACACAAGAGGGGAATAAACATCAAAGAGGTTCTTTTCTCCCATCTATTAAAAAAAAATCATCTCTATTAGAAGACAAAACACACCATGGAAGAATCATTGTATTGACTAATATTTTTAAATCTAAACAAAACCAACTTATTCTGGCTGATACCTAGTAGCTGCTGGGAGTCCTCATCATTCCTTACAGAGCTATTAATCAATGCTACTGAGAGTCTGAGCTTCTATGAACTTTCCTGCAAGGTCCAGTAGAAGTAGCAAACAAGCTAAGATCCTAATCCTTCAGTAATACAAACTAAAACTTGACAAATAGTAGATTTACTTACATCTGCAAGTACTTTTAAGATCAGGGCTTAAGCCAGAAACAATTAATGGACACAATGCCTGCAAGGCTGAACATTCCAAACAACTTACGAAATTATTGGATAGCCTGACAAAAGCATAAGCTACCTATTGTCTAACATCCTATGCCAAACAGACTGGAAGATGCACCAACACAAAGTCAGTGTTGTCAGGTTAAAACACACACTTCTGTTCCTGCAATCTTGTAATGCAGAGCAATAAACACACCAGAAACCTGAGGGCTGTGGGGCAAAGAGCAACTCTGCAACCACCAGGTTTGAGTGTCAGAGGCACCTTTCCTACAGGTAAAATGACAAATACGTATGTGCCTTTTGGTCATCCATGTTTGTGTTTCAGTGGTGTAAAGAACAAGTTAACACTTCTTAAGGCATTTCCATTTCTACCTAACACTCATTACCAAAGTGGCTGCCATGCCTGGTTTTCTGTCAAAGGAGACTGCATCACATCCACTTAAGAAATTGGAGAAGGAGCTTTTCATGCCTCCCCCTATTTGGCATATTTTGTAGGCAAGCTAAATTTTCTAGCAATAATATTAGACTAGAAATCTGGTCTTCAAAGTACAAGGGGTTCACCCGCCTGAAGGAGTTTACAGATCCACAGTCAGCGGGTCAGATCTGCCTCAAACACTGGAATTTTCACTCAGACAGCCCTGCCCAAGGTTTCTGCAGGAACTTATCTTGGTGTGCTCATTCTTACTGCTTTGATAACTTTAAACCCTTTTAACCCTTTCTAGAACTGTCATCTCTGCATCTCTCTCCTTTATAACTCTTTCTAAAAAGCTCTTTATTTTCTGGGCCATTTAGCATGAAGTTGTCCTGCTTTGTGGAAAAGTTCACAGAAAGCTGAGAGAGTTTAAAACAAAAAAATTACAAACAGGAAGCAGTATTTAACCCACCACGAAGCTGACCCAGTACTGACTCCACAGTAATGGAATATTGGCAAGGGGTATCTATTAATCAGCTCTCCTGCAATGGCAGGATGGCTCTAAAATACTGCAAGAGGAAGGGAAAGAAATGTGTTATGCCTAAAAGAAAAATAGTTAACTCTGCTTTTGTCTAAAGCATGAAAGAGGTGCATGAAGGAAATAAACTGCAGAGACTTCAGCTCTACATTTCTTGTACAAATATAACCAAAAATAAACAGAAGAGGTGTATAATTATTCAGATCTAAATTTATTTCATAAATTGTGATGCACTACCCCTTAGAGCAGAGAAAAAGTGGAAAACTGCTTCTTGCAGTAAGAAACATACTAGTTTAATGCAACTAATTGCCAAGAGGAAACTTCAATGCACAGCCAGGCCAAGCGCACACAAAACCAGGAGATTCAGGAATTTCTTCACCTGTAGTGATGAATTTAGACACAGCACAAGGTTGGTTCGGTCCCACTACTGACCTGTACTTTGGCAGCATCAAGACTCCAGAAAATGGTCTTAGCAGTCAGGCCTTCCCTGTAGGAGGGGAAACATTTATCCACCATCTCAATTCATTTGGGATAGCAGTATCCAATTTGCACTGGTCACTTGGGGATAAAAGCTGACAAATTAAATAAGCACATGCCAGGTGTCCTCGCTCTCTACTGCTCCCAGAGGCACAGCACATAGCTTGCACATCACACCTGCGGACAAACGCGAAGTTCACAGCTAGACTGGAGCGACAGATGGGACCCAAGTAAAGACGGGGCATGCAAGATTAAAGTAGATAGTACCACTAAATAAAATGCTGCACAATACATTTGCACCCTAAGTTTCACTTCTATGTTTCAACTCTAAAACGTCTTGCCTCATCCTTTAACATATACATATATTATCACTGGAAACATGTTAGGAAATGATTCCTGATGCTCCTAACTCAACACCAAAGCCACAGCTCAGCACAAGTGGGTAATACAGCTCTTCCATTCTTCCCTTTCCAAAAGAAAGCAACTACACCTTTTTCCTGCCCCCAGAAGAGCCTTGCCTTTCCCCACGGGCGGACTCACACCGATGACTTCACTCCATCCCACCTCTCACCTGCAGGTGAGCAAAGCGGCACGGAACCGAAGGTGTCAGCCCATGGACCAGCAGACACCTGGAGTCTCCCGGCCGCTTCCCCCAGAGCCGCGGGAACCGCACCTTCCCCAGGGAGCCCGGCCGG